TTTGCAAAACCCATGTACAGAAATGCTGAGTAGGTGCTGTAATACTGGTCTTTGTTTTTCATTACATTCCCTAGATTTACATGTCTCTGTGCATCACTGCCATCTCCTATTTTAAAGTACTACAGATATTGAAATCTATGATGTAAACCATTAAGTTGTTTTTTGCCAGGATTGTTAATTAAACAAGTGGAAATGGTGGTTGTTGCCTGATATGTTGTTGTACAAATGTCTAACATTTTATACTGTTCTGTTCATTTCACTTACTTTTTTCATTCTGTGTGCAGAAACAATTCTTTGGCTTTGAATTTTTTTACATTGAAGCTATTAATTTTGTTAGATCTATATTTAGTTGTACAAAATACAACTTACAGTGTGCAGAAATCATTTTAATGATGAGTATCACCTGACAATAAAAAGTGATTGGTATAGACATAAATAAAAATTTTTAATAAGTTCACCAGCAGCCTTATCACCCTGTAACTCACAACTGGCAGCCCACTGAAGCTAAGCAGGTGTTAGTCTGGTCAGTACCTGGATGAGAGACATCCTGGGAAAAACTAAGGCTGCTACTGGAAGAGGTATTATTGGGGCCAATAGGGGGTGCTCAACCTGCAGTCTATGTGGGTCATAATGCCCCATAGTGACAGGGACGCTATACTGTAAAAGGGCTTTGACCATGAGATGTAAAACCGAGGTCCTGATTCTATGTGGTCATTAAAAATCCCAGGGTGCTTCCAAAAAAGACTAAAGGTTTTACCCTGGTGTTCTGGCCAGATTTCCCATTGGCCTTTACCTATCGTGGTCTTTTAATACTTCTCATTGATAGCTGATGTGTAGTGAGCATACTGGCACACTATCATTGCATCATCCAGGTGGGTGCTGCACATTGGTAGTGGTAGAGGGGAGTCCCTATTACCTGTAAAGCTCTTTGAGTGGAATGCCCAGAAAAGCACTATATAAGTGTAAGGAATTATCATTATTTTGGACTTTTTATAACTGTAAAAGACCCTTGCATTTGCTTTCAGTATAATGATGGTGTTCATAACAGCAAATACTATATTACACTCCCAAAAGGGATAAAAGTAAGAAAGAGACAGGCTACAGGGAATTGAATTGAAATGAAATGCTGATCAAAAATTTGAATTGTACAGTATAGTTCTTCCAGTCACGGGTCTCTCCATTAGCATCCTAGTACTGTGTTCCAAGAATTTCAGTGGTACTGTATTAAACATTGACTCCTTTGTAATTTGTCTGTGAGAATATAACATTTATCTCCTCATTAAAAACAGTTATATTTGTTGTCGCATATCTCTAGACTACATTCATGTGCAGTAATTTCATTTTGCTTTTTGTTTAGAAAAATGAGTAGCTACGCCAAATACAAAGCATCTGGCTTGTACTACAATTTCACATGGCTCATTTATCTCAAGATGACTTCACACTAAGAAAGCTGTCTGGAAACCTCCTCACCAAAAAGGAAGTCTCTGTTGTAAGGAGAAATATACCTAATTTCCACTGGTAGCCAGCTGGAACTTGAGCTGATACAGATCTGAAACTCATTAAACATATAGAGTTCCTTACTTAAAACACATGAGCACCTAAGTACCTAGATAATGCAAAGGGGGCTTAAGGCACACACAGTGAGTGTAATATAGGACATTCTCATAGAGTTTCCAGGTGCCTTGGGTAGATACTGCGAGTGCTGTAGTCAAAGTAAAATCCCGTTCACTCACATCAAATTATTTTGGATTTTTATGCTTGAAGTTAGCAGTTTTAACTGTTCTATTTTGGAAATGTTTAGTTAAAGCTACTGTAAATGCATTCAAACATTTTATTTTGAAAGTAAAAAAGTCTTGAATATGCTAATGAATCACACATTATGAATTATTACATCTTACCCTTAAAGGGACACAGTAAACTTTACGGTTGTTTGCATTTATGAACCAGTTTCATCTTGAACAATATTCATAATTTCTTCTTTATACTGTATATATACTGTAGTACCTATACCCCCAGTAAATCAAAAACGGATGCATTATTTTACCTTGTTATGACATTCTTCAAAAGTCTTTCCTAAAATAATACTGCATCTCCTTTCAGCCCATGTGAAACAATAAGAGTGTCTCTGACAGGGGAATGTCTCATTCACTGTATCAGAGCAGGCAGCCCCAGATGT